AGCCTTCCCTGCAATCACAAGAGAAAGGTTATGAAATCTTGGATCTCATCAGCGGGGGTGGGGGCTGGGGTGGGGAGTGGGGGGTAAAGTCATGAGAAATTTTTAAGAGGATAGTGAAGGATAAAAGGCGTTATCATGACCAGAAGGTCAGTGGCTCATGGTACTAAAGACAGGAGAAAAGAAACCCAAATATATTTGTTGCTTAAAGCTTACAAATGCTGATTTTCTCTTAGAGCGCACCTTTATTCTTCCTTCATGTTCTACACTGGATCCCCCATACCTAGCAGTATACCAGGTGCAAGTTGCTTAATAAATGTTTGTTGAATGAATAAATCATTGTGCAAACTTCTCAAATATGTCTTCATTCTGTCTTTCGATTCACTTTCTCCACTGCTTATAGATCATTATATTAAAGTATATACACATACTTTAATAAAACATAATGTTTTCTCTATAGAGCAAATATCTTTTGTTTCCTTATGTGTGTTTTAAGTGTAATTTAAGATTAATTTTAATTTTATTAAGGTAATACATCTCATAATTTAAAACAAAATCAAAACTTACATTTCTTGTAGAGCAGCGTGGATCTCCTAGCCCTGGTCTTATCCCTACAAGCTAACATTTGACTCTTTTAGTAGATTTTTAACTGTACTTTTATATTTCTCACTGGTTTGCTTATCCTGCTATTTCTTTAGCAATTTTACACATTATTTATTGATTTTTGTTATAACAGTTGAGGGTTTACTTGTCTCACATGTGCATATACACAGATAGTCTTTCCCTCTGCCATCCTCCACATGCAGTTTTATTATAGTTTAGGGTTAATTCTCTTGTCAGTGTTCCCAACATTTTTATTATGTTCAGATCTGAACATAATAATGTCATCTATCATCATGTTTCTTTTCTCTTGCAAACTTTTGTTTCTCATGGAGTTAATAATGTCCTTTTAAAATTAGTTCAGCATGCTCTGTACCTATTGTGTATTATTCAAAATAGCCTCCAACTGATCTTTAAAACTGTAACAGAATGACCTGACTGTGGTAACAACTCTAAAAGTCTTCGTGGCATTATACAATACAAGTTTACTTCTAGCTCATGTCATAGTCCAATGTGTGGCAGCTGGGGTTGCTGAGCCACACCCTGATTTAGGGTGATGAATTTTCATGTCTTCTAGGGTCTAGGAGTTCTTCCTTGGTTCTTTGCATCTGCACACTAATAAGGGAAGAGGGAAGCATGGAGGATCTCAGGGGTTATTTTATGGGCATACCCTGGAAGTGAAGTACATCACTTCTGCCCACAATCCATAAACCAGACCTCAGTGACATGCCTCCCCACCTTCAAGGGGCTAAGAAATGAAATCTAGTGTGGTGCTCAGGAAAAAGAGTAGAATGTGGAATCAGGTACGTACTTGAAACTATGTACTTTATTTTCTCTCTCCTTCCTTCCTGCCTTTCCTCCCTCCCTCCATCCCTCCCTTCTTTCCTTCCTTCCTTCCTTCTTTTCTTGAGACACAGTTTCACTCTTTTTGCCCAGGCTGCAGTGCAATGGCACAATCTTGGCTCACAGCAACCTGCGCCTTCTGGGGTCAAGCGATTCTCCTGCCTCAGTCCCCTGAGTAGCTGGGATTACAGACATGCACCACCACGCCCGGCTAATTTTGTATTTTTAGTAGAGACGGGGTTTCTCCATGTTGGCCAGGCTGGCCTCAGATTCCTGACCTCAGGCGATCCACCAGACTCAGCCTCCCAAAATGCTAGGATTTACAGACATGAGCCATGATGCCCGGCATAACTACTGTATTTTCAAATGCACATGTGTATCAAACCATCTATCATTTTCTTTTCATTTTTTTTCTTGGAGACATTCCTACTGCAAGCCATCTCTTTGCCCCTCTTTAGGCCTGCTTCACACTTATTGCTCTGAAGAATTTATTTTACTGCCTCTTATGTTGGGCCTGTATTTTTGGGGTTTCATCTCTTCCTCTTTCTTGATTTATAAGTTTGTACGGGGAATGGTTACTTTAAACTGGCACACAGGATGTGTATTTTTTAAGTTTTTGCATATCTGAAAAATTTTTTTAAATCAAGCTTGGCTGACAATTTTTCTTGGTATATAATTCTAAGTTCAAAATCATTTCATTTAAAAAATGTGAAGGCATTCAAAGAAACTTCTGGATCCGTTATTTCTCTTGAGAAATGCAATTTTTTTCCTTTGTATGTGATCTGCTTTATGTTTCTGGAAGACGTTTTAGGTTTTTCTTTTTATTCCTGTGTTTCTATTGTCTCAGAGTAGTATATCTTGATGTGCTTAATTATTTGATTAATTTAAAATATTGTTCTCCTGGATGTTTAGCGGAACTTTTGATCCCCAAAGTTCATCATCTTCATTTCTGGTATTGTTTTTGCATTTGTTTCAAATTAGTGTTTTTATCCTTTTCTGCATAGAAAGAACTATTTTCTAGAGCTTTTCGGGATTTCCATTAGTCAGAATTTTTCCATTTTTTTTACTTCTACAGCTTTTTGCTTTACTTTTCGTAAGATTTCTCAACTTAGTCTTCTACCCCATCTGTCAGTTTTTTGTAAATGTTGAGTATATTTTCAATTTCAAAAGATTCATTTTCCTGTTTTGTATAAAAATTTCTTTTTTATTCATTATCTCTAGGAGCAGGGTAAAAAGGCATGTGTTCAGTTCATCTTGTTGAACCACAAATTACTCTAGTTTACTTTCTCCAGAAAATAAACCTCCAGTCTCCTGGAAGCTGGATTGAGCAGATGGAGGAACTTATGGTTGGTTGATTGTGTGACAGTGGGGAAGGGAACTTTGGGTCCAAGCATTCCAATATACAGACGTCTAACCAAACCCCTGTGTTTACCCCACCACCTGGCCTCCTTCTATGCTAAGATTTCTGCCTCCTAGGCCTGAGCCTGCCCAGGTTTTGCAGGAAGAATTGGCTTGCCTTTCATCCGTAATCCTCCCTGCAGGCATGCAGTGTATAGAATCTTCTGTTCTTCCAAATCAGTTACCACACCGCCATTTGACTTAGCTTCTTCCAAAATTAATTGCAAGTTTATTTGTCTTTGTGGTTCAATAACATTTTAAACAATTTATTTATTCTTTTAATAAAGCAGCTTGAGGAGAGATGAAATACATGTGATAATTTTTCCATTTGTAACTACACATCTCCCCATGTACATTATTAAGATTTACCTCAGTGCCATATTGATTGAAGTACACAGATATTATGTCTAGTTAGGTTGTACTACATAAACTCCAGCCACAAGAAGACCTTATTACTATTACTTTCATGACACACAATGTTGTCACCTTGTTTTCACTGGATTTCCATCATTTTTATTCTGCTCTATCTCTGGTCAAAGTGGCCTTCATGAAGTGGCCAAGCAACATTTCTCTTATGACTTCCTATTCTTTTTCTTCCTTGGAACCCCTCTTCCGAGGGAAAGAAGTGTTCTACCATTCTCTGGTAGTCTCATTATGTAACATGGCTGGATCTGAGTCTTGGAACCACCAAGACAGGACTGTGTGTGGCAAGTCACTCCAGGAGGGCTATCCCTGCAATAGTTGGCCCTATAGAGGAGTAACACGCTATGTAGGGAAATATGGAAAGGAAAGTCATCAATAAATGTGTGTGTGTTAGATTTTCTCACAGCAGGAACTTTTTCTAGAAGTTGTAGGGAGGTAGCACAATGCAGTGACCACTATGAGTTGAGCATTCAGGATTAATAGACCTGACTTCCACCTTTTGAACTTTTTCATTTTGGACAAATTTACTGCGATTTTCTCAACCTCAGTTACCTCATTCTGAAAATGGAGACAATAAATATAATAGATGCCTTGCCTATTTCAAAGTAGTGTTGTGAAAGCCAAATGAGATGGTCTATGGGCAAAGGCTTTATAAACTCTATTGCATACAGGAAATAATGGCTATTAGGATTAATGTCACAGTGAACGCATTAACTAGGTAAAGAATATGGGTTATCATTGTGTAGCACAGAGGGTCGTTTTAAATCAATGTGTTAACAGTCGAGAAGGTTCAAGGTTCTCATGTTCTTTCTTTTATTTCTGTCTGGGCGCATGGACACACATTTGTTTATACTTAGATATTGCTGTTAAAAGTATAGCCAACACATTCGTAGAATTTCCTATGCCAGGCACGTTCTCTGCACTTTCCTGATAGGAAGTCAATCCCTCACAGTAACGCTATGAAGGCATTATTATTACCCTTCTTTTCAACTTTCAAGATAACATTGAGGGAAATAAAATAGAACTTCTTTCATTGTTTCATAATAGAACAGACAGATTTTTATGAGACCAAAATGTTTTCTCTAACATTCCCTTTGTCCACTACTCTGGTATTGTTTGTTTTGGGTTTTGGTTTGGGAGATTCCTTTACTCCCTTCTACAAGAAATTCTCTCAGAGCTGATAACAGCAATGCCTCCCAGATTGTCTCTAGGGCATCCAATAAGAACCAAGTTAACCAATCAAAATCCAAGCAGCCATTGGCATTTCATTGTTTACTAACATGAATGCAAGCCGCGGGTTTGGAACTTTTAAATTTTGTTCACAGAGGAGTAAATCGGTTGCTACTATCATGTACCCAAACTTGTATTCTTACCTTTACTACCAGTCTGTAAATTAGGGATGTCTGAATGTGTCTAAAATGTAATCACAAGACAGTCCGTCAGGACCTGTGCTTTGTGGATGAATCTAATGTGTTTAGAACAGGGCATAGCACATAGCAGGTGCTTGATAAATATTTGTTCAGTGCCTCTGTGTGCTCGTTATCTTGCTTAGTGGTAAACTATTGATCTCTGAAGTGACTTCAGGAAGTGAATTAGGGCTTTGGGAAGTGAATTAGGATGGTGTATACTGATTAATGCATTCATATGAACACATCCTAACTTTTAAAATATTAATTTCTTTCCAACGCCTTCTTTTATTTCCCGAGGCCATCCTCTGCTTCCCACTCTCAATCCCTCGCCTTCACTCCCAATAGTTAATGAGACACCCCCTCGCAGGAGACAACGGCAGTGCCAGGGCCTCAGTTCTTCTCACAGCACCCTGGGCTCTTTGAATGAGAGACATCAAAGAAAACCCAGAAAAAAAAAATGAATAAAAATGAGCGGCTGCTAGGTCCCGAAGCCCCACCACGTGGAGACTTCAGCTCCCCCGAGAGGAGTGTTTCTCACTGCAGTTGAGTCACCAGCAAGACTTGCCGGAGGTGAGCTCCACACATCCGCGTTGAGACTTGCAGACACGCCTTCTTCTCACACAAGCCTTCCCCAGCCCCACCGCCGCCGCGGACTCCGAGGGTGGTGCCACCAGCCCTGCCACTCGCAGTCCAGACGGGCAGGGGTGCTGCGGACCGTCCGGCCTCGGACCCATCACAGCCACAGGTTGGAGGAGATAAGGAGCTGTCCCCGTGCGGTCTCCCCGTGCCCGGTGGAGCAGATCCTGTCTCCCTGCTGGCGGTGGCGGTGGAGCCCGGGAGTTCCAGAGCTTGGGAAGGGGAAGGAAGCCTCTCTGAAATCTGACACCTGCTCTCCCAGCAAGGAAACTTTGCAGGCTGGTGAGTTGGGAAGGCGGGCTGTTGCTGCTGGAACGCGTTCCCACCCACCCGGGTGCTGCAGCGCCGGCCTGCGCGGAGGGAAGTGAGGCCTGTGTGTGTGTGTGTGTGTGTGTGTGTGCACCTTCGATCGCGGTTTCCAGCAGAAATCCTTGCAAAGAAAACAGTAGTGATATATGCTGCACGGATGGCATGGGCCAGCTCGACCTGGCTCTCTGAGTGTTTGCTTATCAAACAGCTGGTTACCACCAAAAACAGCAAAAAGAAAAACAAACAACCTAGGCACAGCAGTGCCAACTTCCTTTCATTTGCATCTCAACAGGCAACCAAAATAATGAATAAGAAAAAGCATGGATGGTGATGTGCTTGAGTTTCAATTCCAGGAGGAATGACTTAGTGAGGCAAGCCAGGAGAGTGATAAGACATTTATTTGCACTTCCTGAAATGAAATAGCCACAGAGACCTTAAGAGGACTTTCTGTTTTCCAATTTTTTACTCCGTTACTTTCGAATTCTGGTCGAAGTGTCGCACCGGCTAGGGTATATGTGTGTGTGTGTGTGTGTGTGTGTTCAAGTGATCACAATAGATTTGCTTTCAAGGCTTTCCCACCAAATGCAACGTTAATTAAGCCTCTGAAAACTACGGAAGTAGGTGAACTGTAAGCAGAGACTGCGTTCCTAGGAAAAAGCTGTGTTTGGTTAGAGCCTTCACACCTGTAACATGTTTTATGAGTTTTTTATGTCAAGATCTAAAGCCAAGGGTATGTGATTCCAGTTGCTTTAAACGACACATCATTAAGACCAAAGTAATAACATATGGTTTCAGGGTTAACAACAAAATTATTATTTAATATAATACAGCTCTGAATTTTGATTTTGTTATGTTTACAAGGAAAATGTCTACAGTTCTCAATATTTAGTTATATTCACACATATTCAGTAATATTATATATAGAATATACAAAGTTTTATGGTTATAAATTTTGAAGGGTTGATGGAAAAGATGGACTTAAGCATTATTATAAACTCAGATATTTAAGTTTAGTGAATTTTCAAGCTGCCGTAAAGTTCATATTGCAGTGATGAATTGAAAGACATACCTGTCATGTTCCATCACTCCTCAGTTGGTTATTTTTCATAGTTTCCTAGCATAATCCTCTACTCAGATGGGGCCAGTGCTCCTTGAAGGCAAAGTGTGATTCCTATGGATGACCAAAAAGGGTAATTTTGACAGATAGTTTAATGTTAAGGGGCTTTTCTGTTTCAGAACTAACCATGGCCTCTCATACAGGGTTACTATCAATGCTTTCGAAAGGAAAACAAAACATTGCAGATGAAACTGGATGAGCCTGTTCTTATAGTTGCCAAGCAGGAATAAAGGGATTCTGTTGAATATAAGCAAACCACAGTTCCCCTTTCTCATAGGTCATTTCTGGAACAGATATGTTTGACCCAAAAGGGAAGGTAACCCTAATGTAATTGATCTTCTTGGTAGCAGATCAGTTGGTGCGCCAGTTTACACGACAAGTATATGTTGTTTTCAGAATTGCTATTCATTTATTTCACTGGAAAAACATAAGTTATCCAAAGGTCCAGGTGGTTCCGAATAGAAACCTGCTCTTTTCCCACCCTCACTCCTGGAAATTTTTGATTAGGTTTTTGGTCTATCAGATCAGTAGAGCATGAATATAGAACAACCATTCATATAAAGCTCATCTCACAATCCAGTTTCTTGAGCTGATTCATCAAGGCAGGTTGACCAATAGTTCCGCTGTTAAACAAGTAATTGTAATGTTGAGATGCAGAGAAATGATTACAATAAAAATAGGACAAACCAGGTGTTTCCCATGAAGAATACTTTCTAAAGATGGCTGCCAAAGGGGAATGATTTTTAAAAAATTCATTATTAGGTATATATGGAGCTTAAGTATATCCTATAGAAGTAGGAAGCAGCAACATCACTGTATGTAATAACTAACGTATTGTAAACCCCAAATGTGGAGTTGAGAGTATTACTTAATGTTTTTCACACCCGTTGCAATCATTATTCATGTTCTTCAAATAGTAACCTCCCATTGGCACTCCTTAAATGAGACAAACTTGTTTAGATTGCCAATAAGGAGAGTAACACTCTGTTTATCCGATGGCCAAAAAAATCTTCAATAAATTTAGTCTTTTAAACTAAACAACGGTTCAATATATGGAGATAAATAATAAGTTGCATGTTCTTTTATTCAACAAGTATTTGTTAAGAGTGTCAGACACTGTTCTGGGCTCTGTGTGGATAGAAGTGGATAAGAATTCCTGACCTTACAGAGCTTGTCGTTTGCCAGTAAGATAAAAACCAAACAAGGTAAGCAGGCTGAGTCTATGGCACATTGCAGAAAGGTGCTAAGCAGAGAGAATAAAGCTGAGGAGGCATGCAGAAAGTGTCAGTGGCCAGGGTCCAGGAGGACTGAATTTCTAGATCAGATGCCCAGGAAAAGCCTCACTGAGATGGTATTTTAATATCAACCTGAGGTAAGTAAGATATGGATATCCACATATTCACACTGAGGAAGAGCATTATAGATTGAAGGAACAGGGAGCAGTTTGCTGGCATCTTTCAGGTACAGAAAAGCAACCCATGCACCTGGCACAAAGGGAGTGAGGTGGGGGTGGCAAGAAAGGGGGACAGGAGATAATGGGGACAGATCTTGGAGGGCTTTGAAGGTCCTGATAAACATGTTGACCTTTGGTTTTTATTTCGAGTAAAATGACAAAACACTATGATTTAGATATAGCCCATTGAACGTTTTTCAACAAATACTTACTGAGCATACTATGAACTGCAATATTTTTCTAAGCACTGTGGATAACAACAGAAGTTAGTGAGACATACCAGGCCTTTGATGTCATGGACATTATATCCAGGGTTTGGAGACAGACATATAAGTAAATAAACAAATTAGTAATTCTGGAACTTTTGGTGCTATTAAGAAAAAAAAAATGTTAAAGGGTAATGTAATGAGAGTGACCTGAAGAGGACTGTGTGATCCAGTGATCAAGAAAAGCCTCAGGGGAGGTGATCTTTTTTTTTTTTTTTTTTAAGATGGAGTCTTTCTCTGTTGCCAGGTTGGAATGCAGGTGCACACCACCACACCCAGTTAATTTTTGCATCTTTAGTAGAAGCAGGGTTTCATAATGTTGGCCAGGATGGTCTCGATCTCTTGACCTCGTGATCCCCCAGACTCGGCCTCCCAAAGTGCTGGGATTACAGGCGTGAGCCACTGCGCCCAACCAGGTGATCTTTTTAAAAGATTACTCTGGCTTCCCTGCAAAGACTAAGTCACTGGGTGACCAGAGTAGAAGAGAGTCCAGTTAGGAGGCTATTCCAGTAGACCAGCTATGACAGTGGCATAGATTAGGGTCAGAACAATGGCCCCAGAGAGAAATAAATAGATTCAGGAAATATTTGAAGGCAGAGCTGACAGAACTTGCTAATGAATTGGATAAAGGTGGAAGTGAAAAAAAAGAAAGAACCAAAGTGATCAACAGGATTCCTACTGAGATAAGGGGTAGACAGTAAAGTTATTTCCTAGGATGGATAAAACTAAGGAAGAACCATTTTAATGGGAAATGAAGACTTTCTGGCTGGGTGCGGTGGCTCACACCTGTAATCCCAGCACTTTGGGGAGCTGAGACGGGCAGATCACAAGGTCAGGAGATCAAGACCGTCCTGACTAACACAGTGAAACCCCATCTCTACTAAAAATACAAAAATTAGTCAGCCATGGTAGCACACGCCTGAAGTCCCAGCTACTGGGGAGGCTGAGGCAGGAGAATCAGTTGAACCTGGGAGGCAGAGGTTGCAGTGAGCTGAAATCATGCCACTGCACTCCAGCCTGGGTGACAGAGTGAGACCTTTGGAAGTGGTTTTCAGTATCCAAGTGGAGTTATCAACTTGGGCTTTTGCATACATGAATCTGGAGCACCTAGAGAACATCATAGCTGAATATAGAAGTTTGAGAGGCAAATGCCTATGGACACTATTTACAGTGATAGCCTTGAGGACATAAGTCAGAGAGAGATTACAGATCAAAAATGGGGGCCTGAGGATGCAGCTCTGGCTTATTCTGACATGTGAGACCTTGGATGGGAGGAGTCAGTGAAAAGCCAGTCAAGTGAAAGGTAAACTGGAAGAGAGTGTCATCATGAACCTAAGCCAGGATTTTTTTTTTTTTTTTTAAGAAGAAGGGCGGGGTTGATAGTGTCAGACATGGCCAAGATAAACAGTGAGATGAGGATAGGGAAGTGATGATTGTATGTGACACTGTGGAATCATTGGCAGCTTGGGAAAGAGATGGAGTTTTCAAAATAAAATTTTCAGAAAAACTAACTTCAAAAAATTCTGAAATTATAGATTTCACCTATTCTTAAAGAGGAATCAGAAAGAAAGAGGTCACCAGAAAAACTCATCAGGCTACATAGAAGCTCTAATAAATTCTTTTTTTTTTAAATGACTTATAGAACAGATGAATAAAGGAAGCATATAATTAGAAATACTTATGAAGGTATTGTCTGAGCTGTACACATAGCTTGAAGAAAAGTAATACACAGTGAGTTGAAGCTTGGGAAAAAAGTACTCAGGAGAGCAAAAGATTATTTTCACATTGTTTGGAACAAAGCAGTGAATATAGAAGGGTCACCTTCCTACATCCTGGTGAACGTGAGAGAAAGTGGAATTACTCAATTTCTATTTGAAGTCCTTCTTCTTTCTCCCTTCCCTCCCCTCCCCTCCCCTCTTTTTTTTTTTTTTTTTTTTTTTTACAGTTTCTGTTGCCCAGGCTGGAGTGCAGTGGCACAATCTCAGCTCACTGCAACCTCCGCCTCCTGGGTTCAAGCCATTCTCCCACCTCAGCCTCCCAAGTAGCTGAGATTACAGGCATGTGCCACCATGCCAGGCTAATTTTTGTATTTTTAGTAGGGATGGGGTTTCACCATGTTGGCTAGGCTGGTCTCGAA